TTCGCCCAAGGATGCGTCACCCACCACCTGCGAGCCAATCTGCAGAGCAACTGGGTGGAGCAGCTCGACGCGGTGGTGTTTTCGGCCCTAGAACACCTCCTGCGCGGGAGCCACTTGGACGAGCTTCAGAGGCTGCAGGCCACCATGCGCCTCGCAGACGGAGGGTGCGCCATTCCCTCCGCTGCCCAGACCGCACCAGCAGCCTACGCCGCGAGCTGGGCGCTCTGCCTCCACGACGTGGCAAAGTGCCTGGACGTGAGCGCGCTGGAGGGGTTCCGGACGCAGTGCCCGCGGACCCTCCAAGCGCTCGCCCAAGCCGAGCAAGCGCTACAAACCTCGGGGGCGACAGCTGGACAGCCCATCGACTGGGCCCGCAGTCTTCAGGAACCCCACGCTAAGCTCCAGGGCGTGTGGAGCAAGGCAGCCTCCGGGAAAAACCGAGAACGACTGCTGCGGGAGCTCCCTGAAAACGACCGGCTGGCACTCCGGGAGTGCGGCGGCGTAGGCGCAGGGGCGTTTCTCCAACCTCGACAACCAGGAGACCCTCTGCAGCCAGACGACCACTTCGAGGTGAACCTCATGTGCCGGCTGCGAGCACCAGTCTGCCCCGCTGGTTCGCGCTGCCAACACCGACGACAAGACGGCACGCTGTGCGGAGAGCCCCTCGACCCACACGGGTTTCATGCCAAGCCATGCGAGGTGGGCCAATCCCGCACCGCCCGGCACGACCGCCTCCGGGACCGACATGCATCCATGCATAAGGAAATTACGGGTCATGCTGCTCCGACGGAACAACACGTGCAAGCGTGGGATCGCCGTCATCCCCACACCGGGGTCCTTCAGGAAGCAAAGTTGGACATCTGGACACACGACCCCAGCACCGGTCGACCCATCTTTGCCGACTGGGCGGTGACCTGCGTACACTCCACCCCCACGCAGGCACGCCCGAGCCGAACGAGACGGACTCGCAGCAGCCCAGATGGTCGACGACAAACGGGGCCGGCACTCCCCCCGGGAGGGCCTAGACCTCGTCCCGATGGTCTTCGAGACCGGGGGGCGGCCGTCTGACGAGGCAGTAAGCTTCGTTCGGAGCTACGGCGCCTCTCTTGAGGATGCCGACCGGTCCGAGCTCTTGAGCCGGATCTGGCGGGACATCTCACGCACCCTACAACAAGGGAGTGCTGAGATGATCCGGAGCGCCTTGGGGAGGTAGGCGCTGACCACTATCACCACCACGTGACCAACCACCAGCACGACCACTACCAGCCCGTCCGACTCTCAGGACCACTGCCGCCCGTACGGCCACCACAGCCACCAGCTGACTGACTACCAAAATCACCACCGCCAGCACGACCACCACGACCTCCAGCACCACCAGCAAACCGACCACACCTCCCAGCCACCACGACCACCACCATCACGACCACCACGACGATTACCACCAGCACGACCACCACGACCACCACCAGCTTGACCACCACCACAACCACGCCGACGGGCACCGCCGCCCCCCGTCCCCCGTTCCCTTCCTCGTCCCTCCCCGTCCCCTGCCGGGCCGCCCTTGCCGGTGCGCCTCCTGCGCGGCCTCCTCCTCCCCCTCCCCCCTGCCTCTTCCTCCTCTTTCCAGAGAGCGCCAGCGAATTAACCTGCCTTTCGGTTAGTCCCCGCCGGACTGACCTCTTTCCGGCCTCGCCGTCGGTCCCCCTGGGGCGCAGGGGGTGCCGGTCCCACTCGGGAGCCGGCGGCGCGAGACGGGAGGGAGGGAGGGAGGGAGGGAGGGAGGAGGAGGAGGAGGAGGAGGAGGAGGGCGAGTGGGGGGGGCCAGCAGGGGAGGGAGAGGAGGGCGGAGGAGGGAGTGGCGCCTTCCCGGAACTCTGCCCTGCCGTCCGCAAAAACACAGCGCCGGCCTGCCTGCTGTGCACCCCACTGGCCTCGAGGCGAGGGCGCTGGGGAGAGCGGCGGTGCCGGGCGCTGGCCGTCGGGGGCATCATTTGGTCCACCACCACAGCCGCCTGCGGCCTCCTCGCTTCCGTGTGTGTCCTCCGCTCCCTGGGCTCCGCGCTCCTGTGCTCCTCTCCTCTCTTCGCCTCCCTCTCTCCTCGCCTCCTCGCCGCCCTCCTCCTCGCCTCCTCGCCTCCCTCTCTCCTCGCCTCCTCGCCTCCCTCCTCCTCGCCTCCTCGCCTCCTCCGCACTGCTCTGTCCTCCCCTCTGCCCTTCCCCGTGCCACCCGCTCCCCGCGCTCCGCGTGCCTGTCCTCCTCGCCGCCTCGCCCCCCCGCCTCCCCTCCCCTCTCACCGCCGCCCATCCTTTTCTCTCCTCGTCCCCTCCCCTCCTCCCCCCTCGCCTCCCGTCTCGGAGGTTGGTAGACCTCCTATTCTGACACGCCGATTAGCGAATATTGGCCGTCTTCGGTTCGCTAGAGGGCGTCGCGGCCGTCACTCTTGCGGGTCCAGGTCGGTCGGTTTCGGTCCCATGCCGTTTTCACCAAAGGGAGGTTTACTGAAGGGAGGTCCGTCTACCGCCGATCGTCGCCCTCCCCCCTTCTCAACTACGTAATCTGAATAATACTCTCATCTCCCCTGATGACGTCCAGAAGATACCCGGCGCGCTTCCGCGTATGGTTTCCTTGCGCAAAGGATTCCCCGGAAACGGGTCTTCGTTGCGTGTTTGTCCAACATGGTGCTCCCGCTGAAGCGCTGGCCTTATTTTCGGGATTCCGCTCGTTCCGAATCGTGCTCCCGCTGCAGCGTTGGCCTCAGTTCCGCGCGTCCGCTCGTTCTGAATCGTGCTCCCGCTGCAGCGCTGTTGTTCAAGTAGGACCCGAAATCTAGAAAATGGCCCCCAAACAAAAAACAATGGGGAGTGATTCCACAGTCGGTGTCGAGTCGTTGATTTTTGGGGGCACTTGGGGGCGTCGTCGTTTTCAGGAAGTATCATGCGGGAGACCCGTTCCTGCTTTGAGAAGGCGATGTTGGAAGCAGAGCCAGCAGGTGCTCTCCATCAGCCCCGCCTTTTGTGGAGCTTTTCAGGGAGCCGACGGAACTAGACATGAAGCCACGACTCCAGTCCAGACCGGCCCAGACCTCACCAAGACGATCCACTTAGCCTCCAAAGAACCTGGAGCCATGCCATGACATGTTGTGCGGTGTTGTGTTCGTCGCGGCTGTGCGATGCCATGTTTTTGCGTTGCAGCGTTTTGTGATGCGCAATGACACGCTATGCTACGGCATGCTACGATCTGCCGCCCTCTTCTACGCCATGTCATGCCGTGGTCAATCATGCATCGCGTACCCCCTCGCCATCGTTGCCCTGCTCGACATCCGACTGTGCGAGTAGAGGGGGGAGCTACGCCATCACAGTAAGGGATTGGAGAGAGGGGTAGGACGTCAGATCTGACGCGAGCGCACCTGACCTGCCTCCCCTCCCCTGCCCTCCCCGCATCCCCCCGCTCTCCTCCCGTCGCCTCCCCTCCCCCCTTCTCTCGCACGCCTCTCCACTACCCCCTCGTCGCCCCCCCCCCCCCGCAGTCACACACAGCGTGGCGCGCTCCAGATCCTCCTCCTCCTGCTGCTCCTCCTCCTCCTCCTCCTCCTCCTCCACCTCCGCCTCCGCCTTCGAGGTCCCAAGGGGTTGGCATCTCTTCCTCGGCGGCATGGCGGCGGAAGCGGGTGGAAGCAGACCGGCAGCGGCTCCTTTCGGCGGAAGGCAGCGGAAGGCCGGCGGAAGGCTGGCGGAAGCAAAAGATGCGCCCGCCCCCCCCCCCAAGAACTGACAGCAAGTCTGACCTCGGGGTCTCCGGAATCCTCCACGTGTGCGCTGCCCTCCCGCCGTCGCGTCTGCGGCGGCGGCAGAATTCTTTGCCGATGATTTTTGGAGTGCCCCGGGGACAGTCATTTTTGTCAATTCGTTTGGCGGGGGGGGGCACCCTTCGAGGTTACGGTACGGTGGCGCCGCCGCCTCTCCCGTGGCTTCTCCGTGCACGCCATCTCAAGAAGGTGGCTCTCAGATGTGGCTTGCGTTCGATCGGGGCGCCCTCGGCCCTTCACATGGTGATCCCGCTGCAGCGCTGGCTACATCTAGGGCCGGCGCTTGAGTCTCGCCGTTCAGGATTGCGGTCTCGCCTCAGCGCGGGACACGTTTCTGGATCCGCCTCCTTCCTCGTCTTTGTCTCCCCCCCTACCTCCCCTTCTCCGCCCTTCCCTGCTTGCCTGCTGCCCTCCTGCTTATCCCGATCTTCCAACTCATTTTGTGATTGCTGGCTCCCCCTCCTTCATTTTGTGATTGCTGGCTTCCCCTCCTCCCCCATCGTCCTCTTTCTTCTGCTCATCCGCCTGCTCATCCGCCTTCTCCTCCTCCTCCTCCTCCTCCTTCTCCTCCTCCTCCTCCTCCTCCCTCTCCTCCTCCAATGTGCAGAGCCAACCTTTATTCAGATTGTCTATCACACGTGGGAAGCATTTTGAAGATTAAGCCCCTTCCGCCTCGCCCGTTGTGTCATCCATTCCCGAGGCCTGCGAGCTGCAACCCCGCGCGTTTCGCGTACCAGCCGCCCTCTACGGGGTGACCGCTCCCCCAATTAATTTTGATCCTGCCGCAGGCGCGTGCCCGCTTGCCAGCGAGGTGCCCCGCAGAAGAGCCTCGCCCTTGGAGGGCAAAGTCCTGTTGCTTCTAGACTACCCAAACCTGGCACATCTGCCACATCCCTTTCTCACCTTCTAGCCACCAGCATCTCTGCAAACACCGGGGGCCGATACGTACACAGACACGTTGGGGATGGAGGCATCTATGGACAGCGCGGCCGTTGCGTTCGGCGCGTACGGCATGTTCTAAAGCAGGCCCCACGCGGTACTTCAGCCTCGTCCCCCGAGAGGCCAGGGGGAGCCACTGAAGTCCCGGGGCACGCCTCAGAAGTGCGGACGGCGGCCACGCGAGGGTGCCCCCCTCGTGCTCCTCGCAGCAGGCTCTGCCGGCCCTGCCGTGCCCTGCCCCCCTCCCGGCGCCAGGATGCCTGATGGTCGGCACGGGCGAGTACGTGACGGGCTTCGTGGGCGGAAAGGGCGCCGATTCGGACCGCGCCCGGGCCTCCGCTCGTGGAGGCCCAGCAGCGGCGAGCGGAGGAGGAGGAGGAGGAGGAGGAGGAGGAGGAGGAGGAGGAATCAGGAGTGAACGGGGTCAGAATCTGCATCAGAGGGGGAGGACGAGCGGTAGAATGAACCCTGAGCAGGCGGAGGACCTGGAGGATGACTGAGCGGGAAGGAGAATGGGGAGGAGGATGAAGCTCCCCAGACTGTCACGCAACTTAACTTCCAGACCTCAATGTCGCCCCCTGGAGCGGCCCTGGAGCGCGCCCCGGCCAGATCACATCGAGGCGGATCCAGCCGTGGTGGCGAGGGGCCCTCGGGAGATCCCAACAGAGAAAGTCAACAGCTTCAAAGACCTGAAAGAGCGCTTGCTGCCGCCTCTGGCAGGGGGAGGTTTAACACACGCCATAAAACCAGGGCCCCCCCCAGCATTGACGCGACGACGACGTCGCCGCCGCCAGCAAACGACGCGGACGACGATACGACGACGACGACGTTGACGACTACGACCACGACCACGTCCACGACCACGGCCACGACCACGGACGACGGACGACGGACGACGGACGACGGACGACGACCACCACCACGATGCCGACGCTGACGACGACGACGCCAGCGCCGACGCCGACGCGGACGCCCACGACGACGACGATGAGCAGATGCGTAGAGTGGAGTTTAACAGAAGTAGAGTATAGTAGAGTAGGGTAGAGTAGTGTCGAGTATCATTCGATGGGACACGTCAGGATAGAGTAGAGTAGGGGAGAGTAGGGTAGAGTAGGGAGATGTTGATCAGATTCGAGTAGAGTCGAGTAGGGTAGAGAAGATTGGATGAGCAGAGTAGGGCAGACACAACGTAGACCAGAACAGAGCTGAGTAGAGAGGAGTAGAGTAGGGGAAGAGTAGAGCAGGGTAGGAGCAAAGTAAACATCTAATAGTCGAGTAAGATGTAGAGTCTGTTAGGGTACGGTAGGGTAGAGTAGGGCAGGGTAGAGGGCTAGAGCAGGGTATGGAAGATGAGAGGAGAGTAGAGAAGAGCAGAACAGGGTAGATTGCAGCAGGGCCCAGCTAGATTTCTGCAGGGAGCCGCACCGAGCCCCGGCAGCATTCCAACAGAGCTCGGCGCCTGGCGCGGGCGCCGGCGAGAGGTGCGGCGCTGCCGCCGAGGACGTCGTCGCCGTCGCTCGCGGCGGCGGCGACGGCGGCAACGTCGTCGTCGTCGTCGCAGGGGAGGCAGGTGAGCCCCCGATGGATCCGTGAGGGCTTCGCCCCCTGCCGCGGGGTGTGAGTGGAAGTGGCCCAAGGGGCAAGTCGGTTTCGGTTCATGTCGTGCGTGCAGGCGAGGCGCAGCTGCGCGAGAAAGTGCACTGGCAGGGGCCGTCTACTGCCAAACGGGCCGCCCTCCCCCCCCTCGGCCAGCCGTGGCTCCCGGGTGGTCCCGGCGGTTGTCCCGGCGGTTGTCCCGATGATTGTCCCGATGCTTGTCCCGATGGTTGTCCCGGCGGTTGTCCCGGCGGTTGTCCCGAATGGTTATCCCGGTGATTGTCCTGCTGGTTGTACCGAGGATCGTCCCGATGGTTGTCCCAATGGTTGCCCAATGGTTGCCCCGACGGTTGTCCCGATGGTTGTCCTGATGGTTGCCCCGGATGGTTGTCCCGATGGTTGTCCCGATGGCTGTCCCGAAGGTTGCCACGATGGTTGTCCCGATGGTTGCCCCGGTGGTTGTCCCGAAGGTTGCCCCGATGGTTGTCCCGATGGTTGCCCCGGTGGTTGTCCCATGCTGTTCCGATGGTTGTCCCGATGGATGTCCCGATGGTTGTCCCGATGTTTGCCCCGACGGTTGTCCCGATGGTTGTCCCGATGGTTGTCCTGATGGTTGCCCCGATTGTTGCCTCGATTGTTGTCTCGATGGTTGCCCCCGATGGTTGTCCCGATGGTTGTCCCGATGGCTGTTCTGGTGGTTGTCCCGATGGTTGTCCCGAGGGTTGTCCCGATGGTTGTCCCGATGGTTGTCCGGATGGTTGTCCTGATGGTTCATAGATAGATCGATCGGTAGGCTGATGGATGGATTGCTAGATCGATAGATTCAAAGGTGGACCGATTCCGAGATCAATAGACAGATGGATGTCCTGAATAGACAATTCGATCGATAGGTCGACAGATAGATGGGTGGATTCGCATGGCAATAGGGAAAGTTGAAGAAAACACCACAGAGCCCGGAGCCACCGCGAATCGACCGGCTTCCCCTCCCCCCAAACTCCTTATCTCGGGAGACTCTCCATGGGGGGGGATCCCATGGGGGGGCAGGAGGGGATCCCCCCCATGGGATCCCCTCCTTCCCCCCCATGGGATCCCCAGGGGATCCTATGGGATCCCCCCCCTGGGATCCTATCCCCCCATGGGATCCCCCCCCATGAAGAGTCTCCCGATTATCACCCGTAGGGTGGTCCTATCGGTAAGGGGATCTATTAGAGTCGCGTCGGTGCGTCGAAGCGCTGCCTTAGCGCATCTGGGAGCATCATGCGGGGGAGGATCAGATCATCAGCGCATATTGGCACGTTGACGCTATCAAAGACGCCTACGGCGAATCACTGCCGCCCCCTGCCTTTTGGAATCGCCCTTGTGGCCGAGCGTCGTTGCAAGAGCTCTGCCAAGCTGTCGGGCCATGTGTCCCCCCCCAGCCGTTGTAGAAACTCTTCGGGGAACACTTAGGAGAGGATGGCGGGGAAGATCAGGAAGAGGGGGGGGAAGAGGATGAGGAGGAGGCGGAGGAGGGGGCATCTTGGCAGCCTCTGGGGGCACTCTTGGGGCCTTCTTGGAGCTTCCTGGAGGGCTTTTGGAGGCAACTAGGGGGCCTCCGTGGGCCTCTTAGGGGGCTTCGGGGGGCTTCTCGGTGGTTTGGTTGGCCGTCTTAGGACATTCCTGGCCCGTCTGACGCCGTCGGAAGCTGTCTTGGGGGCCTCTTGGGCCGTCTTGGGGGCCTCTTGGGGTCTTCTTGGGATCTTCTTGGGGGGCCTCTTGGGCCGTTCTGGGGCCATCTTGGAGGCTTCTTGCTTGGGCGATCTTGGGGCCATCTCTGGGGGCTCTTGAGCCCCCCGGGAAGCCTGCCCTCCGCCGTTCTGCTGCGGGCCCGGCGATACCACCAGGCCCCCAGCCCAGCTGGTAACTGACATCGAATACGTGCACTTTCCCGACCCTCCGCCCTAACCTTCCGCCCCGTTCTCGAAATCATCGATGTCGGCTTCTTTGCACTGCATGAGGCTTTCACGAGCTTCGATGCATCTTTCAGCCCCGCCCGCGGAGGTCGGAAGGCATGGAAGGTTGAGGTGGAGGGCAACAAGAGCCTGCGTGAACGTAGCGTCCGGAGGTCCGCGCGGATTTCTCGGATCGGCGCTGGGCCCCCGTCGCTGCGCTCCGGCGCCGCCCCTGGCGCGCACAGCACGCCAGGGAGGGGGGTCCAGCGCCGATCCGAGAAATCCGCGCGGGCCTCCGAAGGTGTCTGTTTGTGCAGCTGGTTGTTCGCCCCTGCGCCCCCCCGGGGCGGCATCCTTCCGGTCTGCCGTCGCAGAGCGTGCAGCATCGCAGGGAGTCACCGCCAGGAGGACCCAGACGTTCGACGTCTGGATTTTTTCGAGACGCGGGCCCCCGACTTCCCGACCACTTCCCTGGGGCCGGTTTTTCATTCCGACTCGGTTTTTGACGGGCTTGAGGACTGGTGAGGGCCCCGAGAAAACAGAAACTGCGAAAACCCTTCGTCTCGATTCTTTCGAGACGCCCGATGTCTGGGGACACCCAGGCCGCATCGATCCGTGAGGGTCGCTGGGGCCGACACTGGGCGAGAGCGCCTGCTGTGGACACGATGCAGCCGGGAGCCGTGGGCGGGGCGGGCTGCCGCTGCCGCGCCGCGCGTCCTGGGCCCCGATGCCGCTGCCGTCCTCGCGGCCTCTGCCACGGCTCCCCGGGGCTGCCCCCCTCAGCCCAGCCCTCCTCCCAGCCCTCCTCGGTCCCTCTCCCAGCCCTCCTCCCCCTCTCCCCCGCCCCCTCCACCCCGCCCTCTCCCCCCTTCCCACCCTCTCCCCCCTCCCTCGCCCCCTCTCCCCCTCTCCCTCTGCCCCGCCTCTCCCCCTCCCTCCCCCTCCCACCCTCTCCCCCTCCCTCGCCCCCCCCTCCCCTCTCCCTCTGCCCCTCCCTCCCCCTCCCTCCCCCCCCCCTTCTGCCCCTGCCTCCCGGCCTCCCTTCCCGCCTCGGGGCGGAGGTGGGAGAGCTGAGCTGCACAGGCATGTTCGTTCGACGGGCGCCGCTGGGGGGGGGGGCCCTCTCCGATCCAAGACGTCCGCGCGGGCCTCCGAGGATGTGTGTTTACGCGTCTGCTTCCTCGATCCGAGGAGCAACAGGTCGTGATCACTTTTAACAGAGAAAACACATAGAAGACCAAGCAGATCTCCTCCCCCTTCCTCAGCAAGCCGACGAAAGGCGGCGTGTGAATGCCGAAGACGATGGTGGGTCATGCCCCACCTCCGCTTTAAATGTCTTCCTCCTCCTCCCTCTCTGCTTCCTCTGTTGACATATCTTTCTCTTCCTCACACTCCTCCTCCTCACACTCCTCCTCCTCCTCAGCAGGTCGTGATAACCATCGGGCGATGGCGGGTCTGAGGCGCGCCAGGAGGACCTCTGCGGCATCCTGCACGCCACGCGGCAGGCAGTGCTCAGCAAAAACGGGTCATGATAAGGATGCCTTCCGATGCTTCTCCAAGCTGCCCCGGCTGCCCCGTCGCTACGCACGGGCTCCCAGAGCGAGGGCCGCGCCGCCAGATGTTTTGGCACTCCTGCAGCGTGTCCCGTGAGCCACTCGCATCATGACATCCTCGTCCTACGACTCTCACCGGGTTCCCGGGGAAAGGGTTTCGCCGTTTTTTTCAAAGGCTTGCTCCCGCTGAAGCGCTGGCCTCGTTATCGGGCGTTCGCTCTGCTCCCGCTGCAGCGCTGGCCCCATTTCCGCGCTTCCGCTCGTTCCGAATCGCGCTCTCGCTGCAGCGTTGGCGTCCTTATTTCCAGTGCCATGCCACGGCCCGGTTTTCGGTCTTTCCAAAAAGGCTCCACAATCTAGCAATGCCCCCCCGAAGAAAAGGCATCAGAAGTGATTACACATTCGGTGCCGGTTGGTTGATTTCTGTGGCCGCAGAAGCGCCCCCTTCTCTGGGGCGTCGCCACGCCATGCTATGTCATGCTACGCTTTGATCTTCAACACCATGCTATGCCATGTAATGATCTGCCCTGCTACGGCATCCACCGTGCGACCAGAGAGGAGTTCTGCGCCATGGTAAGGGGATAGGAGGGAGGGGTAGGACGCCAGATATGACGCGAGCACACCTAGCTTGCCTCCCCCCCTTCTTTGCCCCGCTCCCACTTCCCTCCCCTCCCCCCCTCCCTCCTCCTCCTCCTCCTCCTCCTCCTCCTCCTCCTCCTCCTCCTCCTCCTCCTCCCTTGCCTGGCTACGGCCTCCTTCCTCCTCCTCCTCCTCCTTCCTCCTCCTCCTCCTCCCCCCCTCCCTCCTCCTCCTCCTCTCCTCCTCCTCCTCCTCCTCCTCCTCCTCATCCTCCTCATCCTCCTCCTCCTCCCCCCTCCCTCCCTTGCCTGGCTACGGCCTCCTCCCTCGATGTGTGCCACTGCTGGGGCGGCTGGGCTCTCGGGGTCCTCGGGCGTCCGCCCGCCTCGGTGGGCCGGGCCGTGTCGTGGACGCGCTCACGAGGCACCCACTGGCCCACCTCCTCCTCCTCCTCCTCCTCCTCCTCCTCCTCCTCCTCCTCCTCCTCCTCCTCCTCCTCCCCCTCCTTCTTCTTCTTCTTCTTCTTCTTCTCTTCGCCCTAAGTAGGACGCTGGACCCGGCGCTTCGGGCAGAGGCGGGTGGAAGAACTCAGCCCAAGTGGGGGCCCAAAGTAGGGGTGTCCGGCAGTGGGGCAGGTGCCCCCGCACGTGCCCTGTCCATGGGGGGCCCGTCGCGCAAGTTGGCGACATTGTTGGGGGCCCCCATGGAACCCGCGCCTGCCGTGTCGCCTCCTCGATGTCCCGGAAGGTGCCCTGGAACAGCGTCGCCGCCACCCTCCACCTCCCACAATACCTGCCTGGGCGCAACCCATCTCGCCTGCCACATACCCCGCATGGACAACCGTGCGCACACGCACCCGCACGCACACCAACCACACGCGCACACATCAGACCAGGGACACGCACACACACACACACACACACACACACACACACACACACACGCACACACGCACACACGCACACACGCACACACGCACACACGCACACACGCACACACGCACACACGCACACACACACACACTCACTTTACCAACCCCCGGCGCAGAGGCGACTCCAGCGCGAGTAAAGCAGCGGGACGCACACGCACACACACACACACAAACACAAACACACAGGCAGGACGACAGTTTTGCGTGGAAACCGACCACCCACGGTGTCACGAATCGGAGCCACGCCAAAAGCGGGCCAGCACGGACTCCAGCGCGGACACCAGCAGTACCAACTCGCAATACCCTGGCTGCCCGGGCATCAAGCGCAGCAGGGAGGACAGAACCTCCTGTGACGGAGCTGGCGGCAGAGGCCAGCCCAGGGCGGTCAGCCCAGGGCGGCCACCAGCGCGGCCCGCTGATCGGCAAGTGCAGGACAAAGGAGAACTGCATGCGCGACCCCAGCAGCAACGAACTGCCCGCAGATTGCACAGGTTTGCACTCGTGCCCGGGAGCGGCGGGGCTGTCTCCCCCTCCTCCTCCTCCTCCTCCTCCTCCTCTTCCTTCCTCCTCCTCCTCCCTGCTCCCTCCTCCTCCTCCTCCTCCTCCTCCTCCCCCTCCTCCTCCTCCTCCCCTGCCCCCCCCCCCCCCGGGGAGAGCCCGGGCGGGGAGGCCACGGCACCCCGCCGCCGCGCCACGCCCGGAGCGCCCCGCCCACAGGACAAGAGCTGCGGGGTGCTCGCCCTGGTCTGTTTGGACCTGCGCAGCCGCGGCAAGATCGGGCGCGCAGCCGCCCCTCCTCCGGCCGCGCGCGGAGGGGGGCATATACAGTCGGGGCACGGAGGACGGAACCCTTTTCGTTGGGGAGGGGCTCGGTGTTCCTCAGTTGTTTTGCAGTTCGCCTTTGGTTTTGCTTTGGGTTTCGATGGGAAATCGAAATTCAACTTATGGGAAAAAGAGGCCTCGTTCCTTATTCGGGGTTCCTTAGGTCAACGCCCCTTCTGTAGGGGGAGGGGGTAGGGCTCCTTAGAGGAGCACCCCTGCCTCCCAGAAGGCCCGGGGCCCCTCTTGAGGTGCAGGGCCGGCGCCTTCTGAGGAGCGGCCTGCTCATAAGAAGCCTTCCCCCCTTCCTCTGCCCCCCTGTGCGCGCCCCTTCCACGACGACGACGACGACGGCGACGACGACGGCGACGACGACGACGGCGACGGCGACGGCGACGGCGACGACGACGACGGCGACGGCGACGACGACGACGACGGTGGCGACGGCGACGACGACGACGACGTCGACGACAACGACGCCTCCTGTTGCGGGCCCAGTGGTCGCCTAGGGGATCGGCTACAGAATCGATTCGCCCCGAAATCGACTTTGCCGTCGGACCTGCATCTCGTAGCATCCTGCGCATCGCTCGTAGATTCGACGGGAAAACCAAGTCTGGGGGAAACCCCAGTCTGCAGTCGATCCCACAGGCCCAGTGGGTTCCCCGGATGGACGCATGCGATGCGACAGCAGCGGCTTGAGAGCGCTTGGGTTTGGCACCCCCCCGCTACAGCCCCTCAGGCCGCGTGCTTCGCGCGTGGCCGACTCAGGACGTGCGTTGACCCAGTGGGTGCTCACCCCGCCTGGTTGCTACGACGAACCACTGCACCGCCCTGCGTCGTGCTGAGGGGCTTCCGTGGACGTTAGCACACGTTGGCACGAAGATCAAGTCGGGCGCGTCCCTCTGCAGGAGGAATAATCAAACATAGTCATAACAATAGTCTGGGGAAGATTTTTCTACGATGTTTGATCATTCTGTTTTTTTGTTTTGACTATTTTGATACTTCGTCGAACATCCGCCTGTAGGGGGACACGCTCAACCTAACACTAAGACACGTTTTGAAGATCATCGAAGGTTGGAGGGAGGAGAAGCCGTCGACTTTCATGGTTCGACCTGTTATTGGGCCCCTTTCGCCCCTTTCGGGCGGCCTGCGGCGTTCCGGCGCCGATGTTTGACAGCGTTCGCCCCCCCATCCCCCATTCGAGATGTGTCGGTCTGAGATTTGGGAGCCCTTCCGTTGGTTCTTGAAAGACTTCCCGCCCCGGGAGACATTTCCAGCAGCTGCGCATCGTCTGGAGCAGTCCTGGGGTGCCCTGGCCGTCCCGATGGGCTTCCGGGGGCCCGAGCTGTAGCCCGAAAGACCCCCCCTTTATCACTCCTTGCTCCACTCTTCTCGCTCCCTCCCTCCCTCCCTGCCCGCCCGCGTTCACGCTCCTCCATCCTCTCCCCCGCATCCCTCCTGCCGTGCTCCTCTGGGTGCAGCCTGCAGCAGGGCTGGACCTGGACGCTGTTTTGCTGAACTTCGGCTGTGTCTTGTTTGTCGACGTTGGGAGGGACGTGCCGGAGACCAGGCAGAGCCAAACGAGCACAACAAAACGAAAGCAGCACGAACGCCAACGTTTCGGTCCAGCCCTGACCTGCGGGGCCACGGTGCATACCCGCCGCTCACCCGCTCGTTCGTGCTTGCCTTGGGGCGTCCCCCACGTCGCTGCCCCTGGCGGTGGGAGAGCGCACCCCCGCCGCGGCACGCGGGCAGCTCGGCGTGGCGAGCCGGGTGCGAGCAGCGCGGGTGTTAGCTCACCTGGACGTGTGTGTCTCTCGTGCTCTCTTGTTCTCTCGCCCTCTTTCTCTCTTTTTTTTTTTTTCTATCTCTCTCTCTCTCTCTCCTGTCTCTCGCTCTCTCTCTCTCTCTCTATCGCTCCCTCTCTCGCTCCCTCTCTCTCTCTCCTCCTCTCGCCCGTTCCGTGCTAATTAGGCTGGCCAGCGTGGACCCCGACCAGCGCGTTTCTGCCGAGACGCGCCGTGGCTGTCGAGTGGGGGGGAGCAGGAGGAGGAGGACGAGGAGAAGGATGATGAGGAGGAGGAGGAGGAGGAGGAAGAGCAGGAGGAGGAGGAGGAGGAGGAGGAGGATGAGGAGGAGGTGTTAGGGGCTGTCTGGTGTGCCGCCTCTCGCCGGGCAGCTGCCTGTGCTCACGAGGTGCGCGCGGGTGCCGCCGACCCTCCTGCCTGCTCGAGGGCAGGGCGAGCGCGGGCCCCGCCTCCGTCGCCTTCCACGTCTGTCCACTGCTCCTCCCTCTCCTCCTCACTCCTCACTCCTCACTCCTCACTCCTCCTTCCTCCTCCTCCTCCTCCTCCTCCTCCTCCTCCTCCTCCTCCTGTGAGTTGTACGTGAATGATCTATGCGCGCTCGGAATTAGTTTTTCGGCTCAGACGCATGAGGCCAGATGTCGGCATCGGTCTCTTCGCTGTCGGACTTGCGAGGGCTCGCTTCGCTAGCTTCACTTTCCGCACGACACCAGTGCCCAGACTGTTTCTGTGATTGCCCTCGGCCTTCGGAGTGTCCGAAGGCTCCTGACTGTGTGTGTCCGCCGCCGCTGGAACGACCTCCCGTGTGTGAGGTGCCGCCTGATTTCTTCAACAGGACGGGCTTCGTCGCACCCACGGACGACACCGTCTCCCTTGCCATCATCGGCCTCTTGGGAGTGTTTCTCGGAGCAGCGGTCGGAGGTCTGCTCACTCGGTTTTGTTGTCCTCGTCGTGTTGCTGCCCCTCGTCGAGGAGGGTACGGTCGCATTGAACAGTGATGGCGGGGGCCGTGGAGGCTCTGCCAGGTGGCTATGCCATCTACTGGTACGAAGGGGACGATTATGGTCACGAACGGATTTTGTTGAGGGAAGTTAAGTCACTGGATGACAGACGTATCTGGGTTGGGGCCTCGCCTGACTTCGATGTCTATGCGGAGGAGTGGAGCACCACGGGAGATCGCGGGCCCATCAGAGTAGAGCTGTTGAAAGGTCGCATTGTGCCAAGGGGTTTTCCTAGGCCCATCTACCGCTTCGATCAGAGGGTTCCCTGGGACAAGTTCGCGGAGCTTAGGGCCGAGGCGTCGCAGGTCATCTTCGACGAAGGGCTCGAGGAGATCGCTCGCGCGAGAGTGCAAGATGACACGCTCGCGATCAGGAATTTCCGTCGGCCATTCCTTGGATCACGAGGTCCTGCTCCTCCTCTGCCGCAGCATGCAGATGGGCAGGCTGAGCTTGCCGACGCTCTTGGGAGTGACGAGGTCTGGGTCGTGTCTGAGCCCGTCTTCGACGGGGACCAGGAGGTGGCGAGGATCGGCTCTCAGGTCGCCAAGGAGTCCGTGGCGAGCAGGCTGGGGAACCGCGGATTCGCCAAGTTTGGCTCGGTCGTCGCGGCGCTCGAACGGATCAAGGTGGAGGAGCTCGACGGCTACTTCGCGGCCCGCAAGAACCTGCTCCTGGTGGGCCTGGGAGGCACTCACACGCCCGAGGAGCGAGAGGGAGCCCCTGGCTCGCCCACAGGCCTCCAGGCCCTTCGTGGGGCTCTTGCAGGCCCACAGCTCCCTGGAACGGGTGAGGAGCCTGACAAGAAGGCGGGCGAGGACGTCCGCACGCTGTCGGTGAAGTTCAACGCCTTCAACCGCAGGGAGCGCGTCTGGGTGGACTCGGTCAAGGAGATGGTCGAGGACGCCTTCTCGGACTGGCCTTTGGATGGTCCTCGCACGTTCTTGCGGTTGATGATGTCGTTTGCTCAGCTCGCGATGGTGCCCGCGTTCTGGCTGGAGCGCCACCTACAGACGGCGGGTTGGAGCGAGAACGATCGCTCTATTCATGAGATGCGGGTGATGGCGGAGGTTTTCGAACTGGCTATCTCTTACGACCAGCTGAATGTGGCGTCGCTCGCGGCCTTCGAGAGGTTGGGGCGGAGATGGCAAGCTATACTTGAGGCTCATGGTAAGAAACCCATGAACCCGAACTACGAGATTGCTGATAAGTTCTCGGGCTACAATCGCCGTGCACGGCTTGTGGCGCCGGCGCTTCGCACCCACGTGGCCAAGGAGGTGCGAGACGAGGCTGAGATCGACAAGCAGACTAGCAAGGCCAAGGCTCTGAGGGACGAGGCCACGGTCGCCCTCAAGCGCGGGAAGTCCGCTGGGAAGGGCAAGGACACGGGGGATAGCAAGGATGAGCGAGGCCTCTTTTCTTGCCAGCAAGACCGTTGATAGTGCGCGCCGCAGCCGCCGCGCGGCATGCACGCTGACAGGCGAGAGTGATGCGCAGGAGGCACGACAGGTGCCGCTGTTTCCGCTCGAGTTTTGCGACCACTCAGCTCCTCCGTCGACGCGTCTCTCGAGAAGGTGCAGACGGAGAGCGAACCTCAGGAGCCATCAGTCGCGTGAGTTCGGGGAGGTTTTGACGGGCCTCAATTGACTATATTCCCGAGCTGCGAGCCCTCTCGTTCGCCAAGAAGTGGCGGGCGAAATTCATGATTTTGTCGCGGGGCGAGTTGCCCAACAGCCGCCTGTGCCGCCTTTTTTGGATAAGGAGGGAGCCGTGCGCGAGCTCCTCCAGAGCAAGCGTGGTTATGACCACGCAGCTTCCACGGTCGTCGAGTTCGATCGAGCCCTTGTCTCTCTGCCCGAAGGAGTCCAGGACAGGAGGTTACTTCAGGACTTGGTTTCTCAGGAGGACAGGGAGGCGGTGGTGAACTCTAGGGAGAGCAGGATGAGATATGTGAAGGAAGTGATGCAAATGAGAGACTACGGCGAGTCTATTAACCCGTATTTTGACCAGAAGCTTCGCGTTCGACGGCACGAGTACGTACGCTTTCTGAAGATGTTGCACAGGCGTGGTCTCATCAGGTGGTCGACTACGCCCACAGAGATTGCGACCCCGTTCTTTGTCCGAAAAAAGGATGGAAGACAGCGACTTATCATCGATGCAAGACGTACTAATCAGTTTTTTTCAGAGATCCTCCTAGTACTCTACTGGCCACGCCCGAGAGTTTCGCTCGCCTGGAAGTTGAGGGAGGTGTTGAGCTTTTTGAGGCGTCTCTTGACGTGGACAATTGCTTTCGCAGAATCGGTATAGACAGCGAATTGGGCGATTATTTCTGCTTACCCCCCGTCCGCGCACGAGAGCTAGGTCTGGCACATGTTCGGGGACGGGAGGTTCCTGGAGACGGGCTTGTGCGGGCCGCCATGGCTGTGCTCCCCATGGGCTTCTCATGGTCGGTCTTCTGGGCCCAGCGCGTCAATGCTCGCCTGGTTCGGGAGGCTTCAGGCATGGAAGGCTCTGTGGCGGTGGAGGACAGGGGGGGCGGGCTCATCGTGAGTAAGGACTCCGCGCCCGTCTTTCAAGCGCATGCGGGCAACGTGGGGGTCTTGGGGGCGGACGAGATTGAGGTCCAGAAGTCGCTTGATAACATCAAAAACGTGCTTAACTCCAACAAAATGCAGCGTCACGAAGTCCAGGGGGCAGGCCAAGTTCGGGGCGCTCTTGGGATCGAGTTCAGCGGCGAACTAAAGTGTTTCAGGCCCGCTGGGAAGCGATGCTGGAAGATTCATCGGTCTCTGGGGGCTTTCTTGAAGGCGCCCAAGGTAACGGGAAAAGCCCTCGAGGTTCTTCTGGGCCATTGCGCCTACCTCGCTATGCTCCAGCGCCCTCTTCTCTCCTGCTTCGCCTCGGTCTACAAGTTCGCTCGGCGGCGCCGTCGCTCGTGGGCTCCATTGTGGCCAACAGCACGTGAGGTGCTCGAGGCTTTCTTCTGCCTCATGCCTCTTATTCGCTAAGACTGGTCCCGCGGTTGGCTTGGAGAAGTGTTGACGTATGACTTCTGCCCTGAGGGCGCTGGAGCTTGTGTTGCTACTAGGTCTCCTGCCTGGGCGGCCGCTCAAGGGAGAGTCCAGGAGAGAGCCAGATTTGTTCGTCGGGATGCTGCGCAGGCTCACGGGCATGCGCTTTCCTGCCTTGACCCTGATGACCCCCTGGTGTTTGTGACGCCGCCGCCGTCGGTTGAGGACGTGTCGGAGCTTCGGGGGCAAGATTTGTTGTTTCCGGAGGTTCCGCTCGAGGGGCTTGTGGGAAAGGATTGGGAAGTGCTGTTCTGCCATTCTTGGAGAAGAAAGACGACTGTGCATGAGGGGGAAGCCAGAGCTGGAGTCCTTGGGATCGCAAATGTGGTTCTGGAACCTGGGGTGCATAGCTGTCGTCTGATGGCCCTTGGGGACAATCTCGGTGTCACGCTCAGCTTTGCAAGATCCAGGGCCCGTGCCTTTCCTCTGCTGATGCAAGTACGGCGGGCGGCGGCGCTGGCGCTGTCGCGAAACCTCTCAGCGGGGTTCAGGTGGGCCCCGAGTGAGTTCAACAGCTCCGACAAACCTTCCAGGGGCCCCGGGCTTCAGCGGGGGAACGCGGTCGAGTTGAGCGTGGCTCCTGATATACGCCGTCTCGCTCGAGAACGGCAAAGCTCTGTAGCCGCTTTGGCCAAGCATGAAGACCCGCCATGCTCTGCTTCTTTACTTGATTGGGCTCTACATGTCCTTGGTGAGGAAGGCCGAGAGAGCAGCTCCGACGGAGGAGAGGGAAGTTCGTGTGAGTCTTCGTCGTGCGGACCCGCTGCCTCTAGAGAAGAGGTGGCAGGCTACTTTACAGCGGCGACGCGATCGCCTCCCCTTGCCCGTGCTGCTGGAGGAAGCGGAGAGGGATGCCA